GCAAAGGAGGTGGAGGCACGAAGTAGAGATGAACGCAGACGACAGAACATTGCTAGAGAGTTGGAAAGAATGTGAGAGGAGAATATTTTAGAGAAATTTTCCGTCGCTATCCGGATTCAAACCCGGGACCTATTGCAGGAGAGGTGAACACCTCAACCTTTCGACCACGAGAGCCCTCCTTTAGATGTTAAAAGGGCAAGAACATGCATCTGTTTTACAGCGCTTAGTCACTTCTCTGTCACACGCAGAAGACCTGAGTTCTATTCTCCACGAGGGCAAATCATTGTAGAATACTTGGATGTTGTATCACTCTAAGCCTAGGTTGACCCTTGCTGTTCAGGGTCAAAGCCAGCTTCCTATCTAATCTAAATAGCGTCGATAAAGTAAAGTTGTTCTCTCATCCGATCCGGACATTGGGGATTGCCTTGTCAGTAAAACAACTTCTTGGGCCTTCCTCATATTGTGGTATGGCGGTCAGTTTCTTTCGACGCCGCCTTTACTTCTCCAACTCGAAGTCAGGTACCCAAAAATATTACTGCTGGGTGGGCAGGAGGGGGTGAAAAAAAACCCGTGTCCGAACCGATGCTCGAACCCGGACTTTCCGCTTCGGAGATGTGCGCACTAAATGCTCCTCCACCGCACCCTCTGAAAACACCTACTCTAATTTTTTAAAAAACAAAAACAGTGGTAATGAAGGGGTCGGAGTTCACCGTGAAGGGAGAGTTTGGTGCACGTGCACTCACTGACCTTAACAGCTACACGAGACATTTCCTAGACAGCATTATGCGAAGGTTAAAAGATAGGAGCAGCACTCCCTCTACCGTAGGTGGACTATACAAACATTTGCCTTAATATTATGTGGGGCGGAATACTGAGTTTTTATGTAGATCTATGTCGGCGCTTTTAAGACCTTCATCTGTCACGTAGACTATTCTAAGGTATCGAATAAAAGGGAGAGGGGGGGGATAAAAGAGGAGTTGGTGGACAAGTGTTCCAAACTGAATACACGTGGGGTGGGGGTGGGGGGGTTGGAAGAAAAGGAGGGTGGGTGGGGGTAGCACATTCAACCTCATAGCCCTGTACTAGAAGGAACAAATCTGTTTTATTTCTTCTTCAGTGAATAATAGAACAAGAGATCATGAAGTTTTACGGATTTTAGTAGGTTACTGAGACAACTTTTCCCATTCAGGAAAAAATCAGTTTCCTTTAAAAATAAAACCAATGTACAACCGTTTTTAAAAAGCACGGGAAATTTAGGTAACCAACCCAGTATGGCACAAATACTGAAGATAATTTGCCATTTACAACAACAAAAAAAGAAGTTTCAATTACATATCTAGACTCTAGATATCTAGATATAATGTTTCACATAATCGTCGGTCGTGGCAAGCTGGAAAATAATAAACGGGGGGGGGGGGCGCAAAAAAATTCAACATTAACTAGCGAGGGGGGGGGGGGCTTATTCGATACCTTTGAGTAGAGGTTCAGCGCTAGGTGGCGCTGGCGCTTGGTCGTCGAACGCAGACTTCGTGAGTAGGGTTGGGTGGTTTGGGGGGGTGGATTCTACTGCGTAGCTCCAACATCTTTCTGCTGGGATGTTGTATCCTTCTCAGACTGGGATGACTGTGATAGGCGGGACTGAA